AACGAGAAAAACACTGTACCCATCGTGTTTTATTTCGCTGTGGGGTGGGGTAAGTTGTAAAAGTTTTCTTCGGCCTTTTGACTGAGAAAGTTCATTATACGGTTCTTTAGGAATGATACCAAATCCTTAATCTTTTTTTTTTTTTAACCCTGTGAATAGTGCTTTTAACTTGGATGAAATTATAACAAAATTAATACTCCGAATAACATATTGAATTGTTATCTGACTTTCATCGTTTATTAATTGGCGGATAAAGGCTTTTTAAAAGTAATTATTGGGAAAACATTACACCAGAACTTTGACGAATTCAGTATCTTTAAATCAACAGAAATTGAAATCCTACTTTAAAAGCCCAAATGTTTTCATAGGATATCTTTTGAGAGAATAAAGTCATAGGCTATCAGCATTGGTTGGCGTGGGTGATCTTAAAAACACAGTTTGCTTTCAAAATCCTTGTACTTTCAGGAGTGCCTGTAGCTTTCGCTAGCGCATTGGCGGACTTCGCGTACCCTCACTTTGGTGATCCCGGAAGGAGTGAATTGTAAGTTTTGTTCAATAGTTTTCTTGCTAATCGATAATTTGTAGGAATTTTCAAATTAGACATAATGAGAATGACAATCATAATTTACGGATCTAGCATCACGCTTATCGCAATTTCGAACGACAATAGTGTAAATGTTCACGATTAGGAACGCAATAACCATCAATTTTTATGACGAGAAAAACGTAAGCAGCGAAGAAATTTGTCGAACGTTATAATGTGCTGCACTGTCTGTCGTTTTCTTTCTTTTTGAAACTATCATGGGATGGAGGTACGAAAGAGGAAAGGTGCTTCGTGTGCATCCCTTCATTTACAGGAAGCAGTTGAAAGATTCGGGTGTGATTATAATGCCTTATCTTTATTTCATCCTTCGTAGTTGTTGGATGTCAATTCGCGGAGGTGAGGCCTGGTTCTTTGGAACACAAGTTTTGGTTCTCGTTGTGGTGAGTTTGAGAGCCTGCAGGCCATCATCATTAGCGCGATAGGATGAGCGTTTCTCGGCCTTCGGGAAGATTTCAGACCAGTCGGACGAGGTCTACCAGGGGTCTGGTACTTATTATTATTAGTGCCGGACCTTTTCCAGACCTCTCGCCGGTTCGCGTTGCACAAAGCGTCATAATTTCTCAAGGGCAAAGGAACGCTCGCACTTAGTCCCTGATAGTGAGGCCGGACCTGCTTGCATGATATGATTTTGAATTTTATGATTATGCTGCTGCTGATGATAATTTAAATTGGATAATCTATAAATCACTGCAAGGTTTAATCCTATCGGAGTAAATTGGTAGCTTTAGTAAAAATCATAATAATTAGCCGACTCATTGACTTATCGTGATCTCGTAAGACTTATTATGATAAACTCCCTCTCGATGATTTTTTTTTAAGCTGAATCTCGCCGCCCGTGCGTTCATCGCGAAGGAGATTGCTTGCTGGGAAGGTGATCCGGATGACATCAAAATTGAAAGGGCCAGGTATTATGACGAAGATATTTATCGTGTATCTTTTTTTCCGGTCTTATGGGAGCAACCAGGGTAACATTTAGTACGTTTTTAAGAACTAATTATCGTCAAACGTGATGCAGGAATCGGATGTTGACATCTTTAGTGTTAATGGTGGTGATTGTGATGACGTGGCTTTTTGGTGTCTTGGCTATGAACAACACGGACAGAAAGATCTTCCACTACGTCTTCATTGTCTTCTACACATTCCAGGTTAGAGACCAAGCAATGGATAATCGTCTTGACCCTTTATCTCCCAGGATCTCATTAGTAATTCTCCTTACTGTCTCTCATACAGTTCTTGTGGTGTTAGTTTGGAGAATTTGGTATTGGATCAACTTATAATTCCCTTACTGATATTTTCCTTTATTCTCATGACTTGTCTGCTTGACATTGCATTGATATTGTAAGGAGAAATTCTGTCTTGGTCAATCGTGGGAGGTAAAGGGTTAATCTCGTCTCTCATTGACCATTTCATTACCAAGATCTCCTAACTGTCTGCTCTGCAATTCCCATGATGTAATTTCAGAGAATTTGGTATTGGATCAACCAATAATCCCCTATTTAAAATTTTTATTTATTCATAGTTAGTCTGCTTGATATTGTATTAATACTATAAAGAGAAACTCTGTTTTGGTCACTCTTGAGATTTAAAGGTTTAACGGTTATACATCTGTATGAAGGGGTCTCCCTTTAAACCCCGATATGAGACGTACTCTAGGATTCACTTTTCGCACATACTCGCCTACAGGTTTTCTTTAGTTTTGAGACAACAAAATAAACATCAAGTAACCATAGTGATATAGGTATCGAATCAAGGTGAATTGGTTGGCTGAATAGATGGTAGCACAGTTAGACATCAGATATCACTGAATTCTGTGTTATCCCCTTTTTTACGAAGACTGAAAGCTTCATCATTGCAAACATTTCAATTTAATTACCGATCGACGTTGAAATACAGTGCTCCTGCCGGTTATAAGGTTATTAAACACAAGAAAAATCTGTTTTCCACTACAATACTTCCAGCTGATATGTATTTTGTTTTCTTTGCAGGGTCTACTGGTTCTGCTTTTTTACTGTGTCCGCAACCAAGAGGTAAGTGTCATTTATCATATTTTGAAGATAGTTAAGGTTATTCGGTTAACTGGTCTCTCTGCATCAGGGAATGATCTGTTCCAAATGACGCAAAAACGACTTAGTGACGCAAAATTTAAAATGAAACAGAAATGAGCCGGGAGGATTAATTTAATTTTTTTTCCGGATATCAATGAGTTCATTAGGTGGGAAAACAAAGGTAGCGTGTGGACGTCTCTTCCTTTCGAAAGTAGAGAGGGAGAGGCACGTCCTTTTTTAAGCTGTCACGTTAGTGTCTGATCTCGTGTCCAGATCCTACCGTGTAACTTTAACCAATGTACCACTTGGCCATAAAAGGTTTCGGTACGAGACTAGTTGGTATCATCAATATTGTCGGAGAGTAGGCTTTTCCAAACGTCCAGTTAAACGAAACGCGAGGGTAAAGCGCGCCACAGTAAAGGAGGAGGGTTAAAATGAGGGAGACTTGGGTTCTTGTAGCGTAATTAACGGCGTCCTCTACGCGACGCGACGCGACGCGACGCAACGCGACCCAACCTGCCGGCTATTTTCACTCTGCCGTTACTGTCGCGCTGTTCACGATTTTGTAAGGATTTTGCACAGTCGTACTTGCATAACGCCCAGAGCAGGCCAGTCCAAGAAATGAAATTAAACTTTAATTTCAATGTTTTATTTGCAGATGTGGGACTATCGAAAAGATAAAAAGGACGAGGAAGAGAAAGAAAAGGTAATAATCAGATATTCAGAAACGACAACAAAACAAACGAACATAAAACGAAGCGTTTTTCACTTCTTCAGTAAAGACCTCCCTCTAAAGGCATGGTTATACAGGGATCTTCCTGTGCATAATTGTAATTTCTAAGAGTAAACAGCAGCTGGTTTCTCCTTACAGCGTCATCCTTGAATCACACATTAAGACTGTGAGAATGAAGGAAATTATAAGAGTGAAACAAGTTTTCCGGAAAACGAGGGCCTTGTCATGTAGTACGGGAAATGTAGAAGAAACAGTATGGAGAATTTGCGTATTGATGTTAGGGACTGAAGCGTTAAACTTATTAATGGCAGTTGTCCCAACGATACAAAACAGCAGCAAACAGTCAAACATGCAAAGAGAGAGCAGTTAAGAACTAATACGAAATTCTAAGCCAAGAAACGTTGTTATCTTCGGCGTTGACGTTGTGTCTCCTGTAATTGCTAAAATTTATTTTCAGTTATTGAGTCTTTGTACCTTATCATACCCAAAAATAAATCATTTGATAAAAAATGTGCATAAAAAGACTGATCTAGTTTACCCAGATAGCATGCCTTATATATTTTAACAAATATATTATTCTGTTTTTTTTTTCAGAACAAAACCTACGACTTTGTGTACCATCCATAAGAGCAACAAGTATACCCTCAATACTAGATAATTTTGTAAAAACGTTTGGTAGAAGATTGCACTTTTATTCGTTTCATTAACGAACTAAAGGGACTTACAAAGAAATTGCCCTTTTTGTAGATGGTGAAAATTAGTTAAGGCTCCCATGATATTGAAGTTAAGCATAAAATTTACGGTAAACGGCAAAAATTAAACTTCTTAGATTCGCCTGTTTATTGCACTAAAACAAAATTATTTGCATTAACTGTAAACAAGAGACTGTTTATACATCCCTGTAGGATTGATCGGGGATTATTGTTTGGGTGATTCTGAATAAGTGATAATCCTTAGACGAGTTTGAGCATTGAGATGAGAAGTTTACATAGATGTGGCCTTAGTAACAAGACTTCACTGGTAGTTAAAAATCTATCAATTAATTTATCAATTCAAGTGCAATCTGGCGATAAGTATTGCTCTTCTCATTACTATGTAATTCTACACAAGTTCCCTTTGAGGACTAAAGATGTTAATAAACACCGAATAACGATCTACTGCAGCATATTTCACTTGTCTTCTAACTCAGTACAGATCGCTCGTAGGCGCGAAAGGATGAAGATTTAAGAGAAATGCTACACCCTGTTCCTTATACGACCGTCCTGGTCACCCCTAGTAGTCCAAAATAATGCCCCTGCATTCGGGAGGATTGAATTAAATCCAATAGAGAGAGTCACCAACGACCGAGCGACCACGATCGTCCACAGTGTAGAGATGTAGAGAATGCGTAAATTGGCTTATTTTACACAGCAGCGCGCCAATTCTTTAGGAGTCATTATTGCTATTATTAATTTTAACCTCGTTTCGAGCGCCTTTTTACTGAACAACAGCTGCAAAGGAGAACAGGATCATCCCAACGTTTGAAAAACTAGGGTGACTGGAACGACCTAGCAATAAAGTGGGATCAACGCCTTATGGGACAACCAGCTCGCGAAGGAAATGAAGAAACTCAATGCTGTCCTCACTAACAAGAGCCATTTAAAAATTTTAATAGCAAATACTATGACCAAGATGCCTTATTTCAATAACAAAGCTAATTACATGCCTTTTGAGAAAACAAAACACTGACTGGTGAAGACTTCTCAGAGAATCAAGCAAACGTGTTTTGAAATTTAAGTCTTGTGTTAATTTTTCAAAATAATTTTACACATAATGACTCAATAAAACAATTAGTTACTTTTAAATCTAAGTTGATACAAATCATTTGCATGCAACGATTACATTCTATCCTAGGAAGTACAGAATAATAAACTTTTTCATACGCAGTACTCAAAGTGATACATACATGCAAGTGATTATACATAATTTAATGATAGGGCTATCTTTGTAAAATAGTTTGAACTAGTACTCTGAACAATCTTGGGAGTTAAGTGCTAAGTAACCTACCCTCTTCAACTGAGGCTTGGTCACAGTTAGATCACAGTTCCATTTAATGAAAGGAAATTTAATTTCAAATCACTTCTGAGGTTTAAATAAGTCTGCTTCACCTTTGTTCTCCTGTAAACTACAGGCTTGAAAAGAAAATCTCTTACTATGAATGCTCCAAAAATATAAACATGAAAACACAGCAGTTAAGTTTGTTTCCAAGGGCACAGTAAGGTTCCCAAATAATATCCAAACCAACCGCTCTATAGGTAAATGAATATTATAACTGAGGAAGGGTTGTCCCATGGAAGTAAACTTTGGTTCAAGTACTCAAATTACTAGGGCACAGATGGCGGAAGTCCTGTAGAACAAGGCCTGTATATTTTCTGAAATATCACTATTATGTAATCACAACTTGAAATAGTACATGAAGACCTAATCTAATCAAAGCTTGCCAATGGAAAATAAAACTCGCGTGTTCAAATATTACGTTCTATGGCAGTCATTAAAGTGTAACAGAACACTCTTCATGTTTAAATTCTTATACAAGGCCAAAGAATTACTTATTTTTTCTTCTCATTTGAGATAAATGCATGTAAATTAAAAAAGGACCACCCTTAAGCTGCATAATATAGGGAATAAATCAGAAGCTAACAAGCACTTTTGCGCATTTTGTTGACTGTAACTACCAACTACAATACATGATACAACATGAACCACTAAACATTGTTAGACTTGTGATAAATTAAGATAGTGTACATGCAAAAAAGCTGCATTTACTAGCAAATGAAGATACCAGTCCACTGGCATTTTGTAAACTAAAGAACATCTCTGAGTACAAATTGCCAAAGAACTGCACATACAATCATGTAGATTTCATAAAATCAGGGAGTTAGTGACAGCACAAATGGGGACCATGAATGCACAAAATGAGACACAAAACTTGATCCTTTTGTGTCTGCACATAATCATAACTTCTTAGAAACTGTACAGTATACACTGTACGATAACAAACCTCATTTTTATCTCTCACATCATGAGCCTTTAAGAGCTTAAGAGCTTAAGTCTTCACAACTTATATCTGACTGTTGTATGGAGAAAGGACACTGATTATAGTAAAATGAGCTGGTTAACCTTATTGTTATCATCATGATCTCCTTTGTATCCTCCTGATCTATGAATTCGTTCATCTTTAAAATGCAAAATTCGGCTAAGTCACACCACATGGCCAAGGAGTCATTGTTTAATTAAATTATGCTGCATACATTGTCTAGTGTTTTCCCTTCACACAACAGTCAGAAGGTAAACCTTGTGTTCATGAGCAGGGAATCTGGCTCTGACAGCCTACAAGCTCTCTTAAATAGAATAAATCCTAAAGTTTTCTTAAAACATCAGATAATTATTCTGACATTGTCTATAAGCAGTTCTTTAATAATCATAATGTGAACATTGATTTCGTAACTGATCCTGTCTTGGTCATAGTATCCTCATGAGCCTAAAAAAATTAAATCAAAGTTTACAAATTATAGTATATTCATTTGTGAGAGGCTTTCAAATAGTCTTTTTTTGTTTTCCAAAAAAATACAAAAATAATATAAAACAAAACAAATAGAAAAAACAAACAAGAGCTAGCTAGTAGCTAGGCTTCATTTCTGCCCATCTTTCAAGTCCAGTTATCAAGAATCTCTTCAGGAAGAGGGGGTGGGGGTGAGGGTTGTAAGTAAGAGCTGGCTATCTTTGCAGGGTTATAGTTATAGTTATAGCATTACTTCAATAATGGTGTTTTGATCAACTGTAAACCATTTCCTTTTGGGCAATATGCAACATCCTTCTCTTGCAAAACTGACTGCAAATCTTGAGAAAATCCAACCTGTTTTGACCCTTTCCAAGCCAAGTTTCTTCCCTCTCACCCTTTGCCCTAAGTGATTATCAGACCTACATACCTTTAAGGCACAAATTGAAGACCATATATAGTTTTCTTACCTGATAACCTATAACTAGCTTGGCAGGAAGACTGAGACGCTCTTTAAATTTACGCCTGGTAAAGAAAAGAAACAATGTTTATTGGGACTCCCTTGAAGGAGAAAAAAAATAAAACAAACAAACAAGCAAACAAAAAAACCAACAGCTATTCACTTGATGCACAAACTCTTTAAAGCTTCCCTGGCAATTAATTAATTACAAACCAAAAAAAGAACACAACAACAAGGTAACCTTTCAACAATCTATGAACATCAAAAAGGGAACCACATGAAAAAAACTAACAAAACACAACAAAAAAATTAAAAAAACTTAGCATCTGTGATTCCTTTTTCATAGTAACCATTGAATTTAAAAGGTTCCCACTGGAAGAGGAACAATTTTGGTTAGACTACATGTACATGTCTCTGGGCTGTTAAAAAGGCCTAATACATTATATTTTGTGGCTCTTTTACTAGATGGGACAATTAATTCAGCAAAATGATATCAATCACTACAGACTGTAGTTCCATGAGGCTACAGATGAAGAAAGTTAAAAGACAAGCACAAGAGTGCTCTATCAAAGACATAATAATATATTTCATCACCACAATGAGGGAATAAAATATCTAAATTCTAAAAATAGCAAGGGTTATTAATGAAACACACATAAGCATGTAACTAATACACCTACCCTATACTTAAGTTGGCATCTTGATCTGATGCATTGCCAGTCCATATGGCCAGTTTATCTCCCTTTTGACGAATTTGAACTACAGCTCCACATACATTCTCAGAATATTCACCAAAAGACTCTCCAATGAGAAGCATTAACTGTGAAAAAAAAAAGAAAAACAGAAGTCAACCTTAAAGTTGTCAAATACATGTACAATATACCTGTGAGAATCTTAAATTCTCAACCAAATCTAGAGATTATTTTTTATTATCAACATGCAGTTATTAGGTAGAAATGAAACCTAATACAATTTAGAGTGTGTTGGTTTCATGGCATTGGGCACCTTTCTTATGCTTGAGATTTTAACACACAGCCAAGTTAAGAAGGTGGGTTTCCATTGTTCCATTCCCCATTCCTTTAGTTGGGTGTGTCCCTACTTAAGTGCAGAGGTTATTGAACCTCTGTCCTATTCCAGTCTGGCTTTTATCTGTATCATTAATCCATTGAAAGACCCACCTTACGCCTGATAACTATATATATATATATATATCCTTGAACTCTATTTCACAAGACATGGAAACATCCATAGACAGTTCCTTGGAGAGGATAAATAACACTAAAAAACAAACCATCACTCAACCAAATATATCAAATACTTCATTCAGTCCTTACTGTTTCAAGCCATAATCTGTCCAGCTCCTGTTGCCTAAAATTTTTCTGTGTGTTTACAAGCCAGCGTCCTCCTTTCTTGTTTCTCTCATCTTCCCACATAGGCTCAATTCCTTCCTAAGGGGGGAAGGGAGAGTGGAGAAATTTGATGAGCTAAACCTTTCATGCAGAGTAATTCTGCAGAAATTCAGATCCTGAAAGAAGGGTGAACAAACACCTTGTATGGTATCATTTTACATCTGTATTTGTGACAACCTTACATGGTTGACAGGGATTTAAGTTTTATTACTGTAACCACATTTACTGATTTGGCTCTATCCCTATCCCAGCTATCGGCCAAGACCCCAAACTTTAAACTTGTTAAATCAACCCATCCAATGCGAATGAAGAGACAAAATAGTCTGTCATAATCTGTGACCTGTTACAGGTTATTTTTAATTTCACCTTTCATTTATTGTAATCATTTCATGATTTTAGGTCACCAAATGTTTACTTTGAAAATATGTCGAGCTTGAAGCAATTTAAATGTGAGGAAATATTTGATCATGTAAATTGAACAACTTGAGTGAATAGAGAATGAATAAACAGACCAACAAATGAATGAGAAAGTAGCACATAAACAAAACTAAAAAAGATATTCATGAATAAATCAATAATCAACCAAAAGAAATGATACTGTAGACCAACCAGAGGAATAGACATGCAACACCCAATTGTATACCTTAAACAATGAATAATCACATCCAGACTGTAATTTGCTAGCAGCTTGAATATGGTTATATACCCTGGTGAAGAAAATCAGGAAAGTTTTTAAAAAATGGCAAAAGAAAATTTTCAGTAGTAAATGACAATATTTTATCTCTCTGCTGTATGTGTGCTATGATTAGTCAATTTAGTGGTTGAATTTCGTTGTGCAGCCTGCTAAATTTAAAAGACTGCTTGAATTGAAATCCTCCCATCTATTTGAACCCAGAGATAAAATAAATATGTTATTAGCCTTGTATTCTTGGTTCATACTGTAAGTTACCAAACTTTGTTGTTTCCCTTTTATAGCCTGTGCACCCATAAATTCAAGCAGAAAAAAAGAAACCTTAGTCTGTAATGTACAATACAGACCTCAAACGGTGTTTGTCTGCAATTTATATTTTGCAAAAACCATTTAGTTGTGTCCACACTGGTCCATCCAAAATGGCAGATGGCTTCCCAAAGCAAACCTTAACTGTTAGTGAGTGATTATCGAAAAATTATTGCAGAAAATAAACTTGATGATCCAATTGACCTGGGAAATTGCAAAGCAAGGCAATTTTTCAAGATAAGCAGATCACTTAATTGCTATAGCCTGATCCTAACTGATGAATCATACCATGACACAAAGGGGGTAAGTTTCCAAAGAAACTGTGGTGCTGCGTTGGTGGGAGAGAATTGCTCTGATGAAGGGCTAACACTCAAAACATTAACCTTTAAACTCTTTATGGTGGCCAATTTACGTTTTCAACTCAGTTGTTAACAGCAAATTACCCTATGATGCACACAATTTATTTATATGTGTAATGTGTGTACCATTGAAAAAAGCATATGGTTTAGTTCTAAGGCTGTTTTCACAACCAGTTTCAGAGAGATAAATGTCAAGTTCTGAAATGTCTTTAAAAGATGTCTAAAATTGTAAAGTGAACAAACTAAACACCAACTTACCCCCAAAAATCTTCGACCTTTTTGATAGTCAATAAAGGAACAAGTCAAGGGAAACAGTTTATAAGACAAATTAATAAGATATTCCTCTAATGAACACACAGGAAAATGATGGTTTGTTGAAAAATGTACAATGCACCTGCACAGTACACACAAAAGCAACTGGTTGGTTTAGCTACTTTTTGTTTTTGCACATTGTACTGTTTGTAATACACTGCACATAAGTGGTCACCACTTTACATGAAAACATTCAAGGATATTTTGTCCTTGGAACTTTCCCAAGAAGTGGGAACAATGACTGAAATTTTCTAAATAATAATAAGAATTATGATAATAATAATATATTAATAATAATAATAATAATAATAATAATAATAATAATAATAATAAGATGAAACCCATGAAAGAAGTGGAAAAAACAAAGCATTGCATGGCCAGTATCCCAGGATTCTAGAGAAGCCTCATGTAGACACAGTCACCACCAACAAATGGTTTTCAAGTAATCTGAAGGGAGACACAGAAGGACTACTTGTTGCAGCTCAAGACCAGGCAATAAACACCAGAAACTACCAGAAAGTTATTCTGTGGCCAGCAAGTGGAGAGCAAAAGCAGAATGTGTTTGCAATATGAAGAGACAGTGGACCATACTATATTTGGATGTGAGGTATTACCTAAAACAGAGTACATCTCTAGGCACAATAATGCTGCTGCATATCTCCATTGAAGCATCTGTAAAGATCATGATGTCAAAATTACAAACAAATGGTACCAACATAAGCCAGAGACTGTTATGCACAATAAAGACAACAACATCACCATCATATGGAACATACTGGTCAATACTGACAGAACTATAACAGCAAAAAGACCAGACATCATAGTTAAAGATTCAGTGAATTTCACCTCCAAACTGCTTGATATGACTGTTGCATCGTTCTCAAGGAAATGGAGAAGAAAAGCAAGAACAAAGACCTATAGAATTGAAATACAGAGAATGTGGCAATTATGAAAACCATAGTGACCCCTGTGGTTGTTGGTGTGCTTGGTACAGTAAAGAAGGGGATGGTGGAAAACAAAAAGAAAGTATCAGAAACAGCTACTGTGAGAGATTTAAAAGATCTGCATGCTGGGATCTGTGCAAATCCTCAGAAGTGTGCTTAGTGTACAAACAAAATGATTGACTTAAGTGACTAATGCCCTAGGTGCATGGTTTGCGCCTGGCTGATGCACAAAAAGAACACCAGCAAAGACTGTGATAGAAGAGATAACAATAATTAATAATAATAATAATGAAACATAAATCATAATAATAACAAAACCTGTTTCACTTACAGAAAAAATAAGAGACAGCTGCATGCAGTAATGAATCATGTACCTATCATAACAGCAAAACAATGTCAGAAGATTTATGGCAAAGGATACAGTATCAAAAGAAGTTACAAGGCGAAGATTATCTTGCCAGGATTTTGTCTTATCATTTTTGAAAAACCATAAAGCCCATTTATTTTGCAATGGATGTTTTACATATGAAGGCACAGGAGCTGATGCTCCATCTTCTGTTGATTGTCCATCTTTGGCTTTCTCCTGCTTAAAAAAAAAATCCATTAGAGTATGCAAACTTGCTCACTCAATATTTCCATTGAGAATCTTTGAGTTTGGTTTAGGTACCCAAGCTGTAAGCTTTGCTTGATGCAACAAACTGTTGCATGCAGTAATGAATCATGTACCTATCATAACAGCAAGACAATGTCAGAAGATTTATGGCAAAAAAATTAGTCTAGATGGCTTTTCCTTCTTCCTTTCAAAGAAATATCATGCCTTTACAAAAAAGTGGACCAACTTATCTCTTATGGGTAATCATCTTTGTACAGGCTCAGTACACAAAACTGCTACCTTTTGTTTACTGAGAATCAGTTACTGCTTAAAACCTACATCAAACTCCCACTTGCCTATCACTGATCAGGGGAGAACGAAATGTTAGAGAGGAAAAAATTCTGAGTGCTCCCTTAACTTAAATCAAGCTTGTTATTAGAAAACACATGAGGTCTTTTTTTTCATTATTGCTGAGTAAGCTTCAGTCAATAACAATATCTCTTTGACTGCTAAACATACACCACTTTCCCCTTCCTTTTTCTGTTTCAAGTTTGTTGGGCTAATTGAGATATTCCAGCCATTTAAGAAGTGACTGAGAATATCAACATGATAGAGGAAGGATTAGAAAAGACAATTTGATTTTGACTTAATAATGCCCTTGCCTGAAAGACTGCTTTTCAATCAGCTAGTTTTTTTCCTTTCATTTTTGAACAACCCACTTTTCGTTAACATTATCCTCTAAGCCATGCACCGTAAGAGTTTATTGACTTAATATACCTACACGTAGCCTGGCAGCAGATTACACAAGATAAGACACTTTATAACTAATGACCCAGACTCTTTCCTGTGCAAAACAGTTAGGTTGGACAGTAATTTCAAAAACATGAATCTTGTAATAACCAGACTCTCTCAAATGACAACGAAAAAAATTGAGACATAACGTACGGTTAATTATGTAACGCGAATTGTATATGGGTTTCAATAGTGTTTGATCCGATATATCACGATTAAAATTACTTTCTCCCGACAAAGGTAGCTGCAATTTCGTAAAGAAGATCTTTATCTGGTTGTTCAGACAATTAAAATAACACGAACTAAACGAATAATGACGCTCACAAATTAGGCTTATCAATAGATCTCGCTGACATGGGTGAAACATATTTTAAAAGCACCTAGATAGTCGTCGCAAAATATCGAGAAAGCGGTCGAAATTTTATCTGAAGTTGGGAAATAAAATGAGACATCCCAAAAAACTTTTTAAGTTTTAATGCATTACATAGTCAACGTACTATTACTGTCGCAAATAAACGAAATATAGTTTCAAAAATTGACCTGTTTGCGTGAAATGGAGTCGTAGTTCAGTAACTTTTCTTGACGGATAAACCCTCAATTTCGCGGAATAAAACCCCTCTTAATTTACCCCAATAAATTTAGATGGAGTCTTCGACTTCTTACCTCTTCTTTGCTTTGTTCCTTTTGATTTTTAGCTGGTATCTCGTCACCAGAAGCCATACTAACTTTCTCAAAGTGGTTGAAATTTACTCCTGTATTTCCTTTACCGGCGTCACGTGGGAAAGTAAGTTGTACATGCGTACTTTTGTCCTTCGTATCCAGTCTTCCTAAACAAACCGCGCTGGCGCTGGGGCCGTAGTGACAGAACAGAGCGAGACTTCTCGCCTAAATCTCTGATTTGTCGAGGCAAAACTCTCTAATTTCCAGCTCTCCTCTAGCACTCTTCGAACACTGTGCAAACCTAGTTTCGATTCCGTGATATATTGTTTAAACCTCCCTATATTTGATGAACAGATGGTTAATTGAGTAAAAGATAGAAAAAATAAATGAATGAATGAAAGAGAGAATGAATAAATGAATGAATTAAAGAGGGAATTAATTAATGAATCAATACAATTACGGGAGTATTTGAGCAAACTAACCAAGTTTTAAAAATATTTCTATGATTATATTATAAAACTCGCCGAAGAAGTTAGTTAGTCGGACAAAAAGCTGAGAGGATTTTGAAAATCAACCTCTTTTCACAACTACAAATTTCCGTTAAGGACCTCAGTTACCTCCTGTAGATGTAAATCTGAGAAGAAGGACCTGAACAAAAATAATTTGTTTAAGTATCCAGGCCGATTGTAGGTATAAAACACGCCCTTACTTGGTTAGTTTATTTTGGTCGGCCTTATCGACGATTGAAGGTAAAATTCTTTCATTTCTTACGGTCAACCGTAAAACGAAGTCGTAGTTCAGTAACTTTTCTTGACGGGTGAACCCTCAATTTCGCGGAATAAAACCCCTCTTAATTTACCCCCAATAAATTTAGATGGAGTTTTTGAATTCTCACCCCTTCTTGGCTATGTTTTTTTGGATATTCAGCCGTATATAAGAGAAGTAAGGGAGGTGGTTGAACGTTTGCTGTGAGAGAAACAAAGGAATGGAACAAACTAAGTGTGGACCTCAAACGGAGTACTAGTGTCAAAAACTTTAAGCGTTCCTTTTTTAAAATAATTTTAAATAATCAAATTCTTACGCAATTATTCATGTAAATTTTAAAATCTGTATATAACCACATTTTATAATCTTATTTTGCAATGTAAAAAGGCTTAAATACAATACAGAAGCTATACTAACTTTGCGATAAAAATATAAATTTTATGGTTGATTGTTAACCTCATTGAGACCCTCTTGGAACCAGAGATCTAGACACTGTCTTAGCTTTTCTCGCGAGAGCGCGTGCATGAAAATCGACCCTTTTGATGACGCATTTACTAGCAAAGCTTTCCTCGATAGGGAAAAAAATTGCACAATGGAAATCAAAATTCAAAGTGTACTTCCGCTTTTTCTTATCCCTTTGATTGCCTCTTCTACTAGCGTTTGCGATAAAAACCCCAGCCTTATACAGTGTATTGCTCTGAGAAACCAGTTCATTTTGCCACTCAAGGACAGTTGTAATCCATTGAAGAAAAACTGCGACACAGGAGACTTGGTCGATCCAAGAGTTGCCAACTGCCATTTAGAATTCAGTGGGAACGTGTTTCATTCTTTGCTGGACGGATTTAAAATGAGTTATGGGTACAGATGCTTTCCCATCGTTCCGGACCCTAATATGTTTCACAGGCGGAATGTCGGGCCAAGTTATGGGGAACCCCGCTGTGTTCCCACTAAACTTGATAAACATGGAAGCTTCACTTGCGGGGAACACGGAACACGATGTGTGTGCGATGCTCCTGCAGAATATAACTCATATGGGACACAATGGTTGAGGAACAACTGTAGGTGTGTAACTAAGAAGTAAGAGGAGGGGTTGAGATAGAATTAAAAGGGATGAGGTATAAGGGAATAATTTAAAGTAACTTTTATTGTTTGCTAAGGATGGAAATTTAATGGAGAACTCTTCTGAAACCGAGAGAATGTATTTAATCACCGTTTGAAGTTCTTTTTTTAAGTTTGTGTGGCATACTCTGCGTTCTCTGCTAAATGGATAAAGTGATATAGCTTATTCGAGGCGGTCACTTCGTGGGAATGAGCAGAAAAGCAGGCGAGTGGCGATCGAGTGACATAACACTGACTTCCCTTCTCTCAATGATTGCTCGCCAGTTTAGTATGCGCGGTGAGCAGTAAAGGAAATGTGAGTTAGTAGACCTCTGACTATCACATTACAGCTATTTGTTGATTAATATTTACTTAAATTCTTCTCTTTCCTAACTTCCAGGTGTCAGTATTTTGTGAATCTTTGCCGTATTCCTAAAGTCTGCGCGAGTCGTGGGATTTGCAAAATGTGGGGATCCGAACTGCGCTGTGAATGCCCTGCTGACAAAGAGCAATGCAGGCCCGGAATAAACCAGTGTAAAGCTAATCCGGGACTTTGCTTGGACGAGGGCAAGATTTGCATCGAACTCTATGATACAAACGTAGGCTGGCTGATTGGAAATGAACAGAAAGGCGATGGCTTTGCCTGCATTTTAGCGGGGACTGTTAAGTCTTTAGCGACCGTCACACATTACTGCGATATCTCCCAAGAAACATTCAGTAGAATCGGAGGAGTAGAGCCTAAGAATGAGTTAGACTTGTGCTGCTATCGAATGCTGACTTGCGCGGGTGGAGAAAGCATTCCAAAGAAAGGAACCATTTTCAGCTACAGACCGTGTTACTGCAACGTAGAATTCCGAAAGTGCCTCTTCACGGCCGCCTTTGATCCCAAGTTTAAGGGAAACGTTGAGCAGATGATTGAAGTATTAAACAACTTGGCGCATTGCATCATTGACGACGGCGTCCAGTGTGATCCTGTGCGTCCCTGGACTTGCCAGAAAGGTGACCTTATCAATCCTAAATTTGCACATTGTGCTATTGACTGTAGAACAGGCCCAGTACTGCCAATCTGGGCTCGAGCCTGTGCCCTTCGACAATGCAAGCCACCTTACCATCGCGAAAATCTTAGGATTATAGACGTACCACGCATGGAGGAAAGCTCAATTTGTAAGCCTGTAGAGGACCTGCCAATATTGTGCGGAAATAGAGAAACGAACACCCGATGTGTTTGCGACGGTAAGCCGAGCAGATCAGATTTCACCGACAGATGCCGATGCCAGTATTGGCCAGACCGATGGGAAGAAAGACAGTCTAAAGAAAAGTAAAATTATTAGCGTTATCTTGTTTAAGTTGCTCTAAATAAATTTATTAGAAATTTTAGTTTTGTCGGAAGATATTTCTGTAAACGTTTTTGAATGCCGTAATTGAGGGAGAAAGTGAGGTGCGCCATCAAGCGTGTGAAGATTTAACACGTGATATTCAAATGTGTGAAATACTTAATGAAAAAGGACTAAATAAAAGAAGAAAAAGATTTATTAATTATTCCCAAAAAATTTCGCATATAATAATGGTTCAAATTCCTCACGCAATCAAAAAAGGGACAGTTCGCTGTTCCTCACTAACCGTTTTTCCAGTAATATCTTTCCAGAGCTGTTCAGCTGCTTAAACTCGCACTTTGCTTGTCTTTTCCAACTATTCTGACAAATATCTATACGATCAAAATTAGCTTTTGACCTAAGTTATACCTAGCTATAGGGTTAAGACTAAGTTCTTTTTACCAGGTTGGACAGCTGTTTTCTGGAACAAGAAATCTATATCCATTAATCGATAGAGATTTAACGAGATCTTGAAATATACATTATTCCAAATGGATTCTAAACACTAAGGATTCTCATGATTCTAGGAAACCGCCAAGTCCTAAGGATTGCATAAATCGTTAGCAAGAGCGAATTTCTTTTGACTTAACGTTATATAAAGGAATTAATTATTCATGGACTAGAAAATCATCTCATGCACTCTACACGTCTGATCGCTATCGTTATTAATTTGGTGGGAAATATACGCGTAATTTCGTACCTAAACCTTTTACGGCCTACATTTCTGTACAGTTACACGAGGGATCTGGGAACGAGCTTAGGATACGCCATAACGAGAGAGTTGACCGTACTCCTTACGTTGATTACTCCATGAAGATCGAGATACTGCATGCTTAGATATGCAAATCTTTATCACCTACAGATTACAGATCACTACATGATCAGACAGTCTCAAATTACATTTGTTTTCCCACACAGACAATATATTTTCTTACACATTCGTATACGATCACCGAACCAGTAATTGAGGGCAGACGTCAGTCTCTACTTTTACAGCTGTCGCGAGTGATAAAACTCTGGCACAAACAGGGGCGCGGTAGCCATCATTTTCAGGCCCTTCTCCATGGTCAACGTACCGATACCTCACTGCTAAATACAGGAAAACTGCCAAGTTTATTAACATAAGCCCAGCCAATAAAAACATGTAGTATTCAAGTTTGCCTTCATTGAGGTCATCCGGATACCACTTGTTGTGAGAAGTGTGTTTGACGATTGACACCAGCAAACTCGCTACGTAGTAACCCAGGCCAATCATTGCCCAGCACACGCCCATTACCAAGCCACGCAACTCTGTTGGAGACTGGGCATAGGCAAATTCAAGACCTGCAAAATGTGACGTTCTATAAGTGTAAGGCTTTAGTGTAAGTCGTTCCCTGTAACATTTCCAAGTAGGAACTTAAAAAAAATTCATGGGAACTAGCTTTGTAGAAATTGGAATGGAATCTTAGGTCTAATCGACATAGTCGGTCCATCTTTTGTTCTTATGAATTGAAAATCTGTTACGAATAAATTAAAGTAGTATCGTTTGTCTCGCGAACCAGTCACCTCTGACGTTGATCACGACGTTTCGAATGCTTATTTCCTGTATTCTTCGAGGAATGAGATAAAGCTGGATAGATGTAACAAACTTAAAACTTATTCAAAACCTAAACCAGCCAAGTTGGAGAAGTTCTGATAAAATGTCTTCAAATCAAGTTACTTTTTCAGGAGCCTCAACTAGTTTTCCGCTTACTTTGATATTTCAAATTGATTTTTTGTACATTGGTGTCACTTACACAAAACTGAATACTCCAATTGCAATCCCCGGAAAATAATAAATGTAGTCCACCTCAATTATTTGTCATCTTTGCTTGCCTTGGTTCTACGTACTAATTAGGCTCGATATAGTTGGTGATATTTTTTGTTTTCTCGTGATATCACAGAAGTTAACGCGGAGACCACACTCCAAAGGGTAATGTAACAAGTCGATCTCAAACCCTCGACGATGACTAGCAGTATGCAGTAGAAAAGATGCAATCCACATCGAGATAGGAACGAATGTATTAAATTATAATTATTATGATTAATGATGTTTAGATGAAAAAAAAAATCAAGCGCCACTCAATTAATTTTGCACACACCTGTAGTGGATACCAAAGCTTCACTTGTTCCTTGTAGGATATACTGTGGCACTTGATAAAACACACTCATATTTGATGCATTTATAGTTCTATTGAAAACAATTTGCGTCACCCTTCCAAATTTTTCTTTCCGCTCAATTTCGATAAATCCTGCCAAGGCCACAGAACCAGCAGCAAAAATCAATCCAACGCCGATTCTGCGTAGAGGAGTGAAATTGAAGCCAACGCGACGGAGGCCTGGGTAAACAACTCGATCAATAAGGGGGATCAAAACTAGAACAGTCACAATTTCAAATATGGCCAGTGACGCCACGGGAAATGGAAACGTATTAACGATATCCAACTTCATGTAAGAGCCTTGCAATAGAAACGTGGTATAACCCTACGAGAAAATGGAAAATATAAATCTGAGCGAACAAAATCGGATTAAGCAGTTTCAGTATATTGATAGAAAAGAAACCGCGTAAAAGTGCAAGAAATACCTATTTTAATTTTCGAAGAAGACATGACTTTAAATTTAGTTTGAACATAATTTTTTTCCAGGCTCCTTTAATTTTCAGCACCTGAAGCAATAACAAATTTAACGCGTATGTGACGCTGGGTCTAGGAAACGGTCGAAACCTGGTGGGCCATAATCCCTTACTTCTCCGCCCCCCTTCTCCCCCACCCCCTCCTCCCTTGAGCATTAGGGTAGACTAAGAAGGGTTCCAATTCAAAAGGACAAGTCGAATACGGCTTTCATGACCGTTCTCACGTACCTGGCCGTATATTGTCCAGTAGAGGATAAATGTGAGTAATATTGGAAACAAATGAACCATGGACTTGACAACTTCTACCATCTCTTCAGAGAAGGCACCACCCATGATGTCCTTAGCACCGTCGAGCCAGTGAGTCCAGTGTGGATTTCTTTTGCAGAAGAGCTTGTTTTTGATACCAACTGCAAGAATATGTCGAGCATCCATTAGAGCGCTTTTTCGTGGGGGATACACTAGATAACGGTTTCTCCCTATCACCACTACCATAGTTCCACACGTTATTGAAACTACAGTAATTAAGTAACCATAGAAATAGTTCACGTTTTGTTGGACGTATACTACAACTGTGAAGGCCAGCAACGAGCCAACCTGTATGAACCAGTAAAACCAAACAAAAAATCTTTGCACCATCTTTTGCCCTTTCCTCTTCACTTGGTCTGCTCCCATCAGGGACAAATTTGCCTTGACTCCTCCTACTGCAAAGGCAATAACGACAAGGGACACAACCAAAAGTAACTTTTCATATAAGCCTTGAATAAGAACATGATGCCTTGAAGGTTTTTTGTAGGTAATAACCGTAAGTGTAACGGTGCCGACAATGTAAGCCAACAAGCTTCCATATATGGTGTTGTATCGCCCAGCGGTTGTGTCTCCTAGCCAACCGCCGATTATAGGAGTAAAGAAACATGTTCCTTTATAGAAAAAAAAAAAAAGAAAAAAAGAAAGAGTCATTCGTGTTACGTATGACGAAATAAGACTGGTTGAATTCAATAAACATCTTGTAGAACAAAGTCAGAACCTCTTCCTGCAATCCTATGATTGCAGCTCACTTATGAGGGTTATTTATTTATTTGCATATCTTCTGCAGGCCAAAAACAAGATTTATTTCATTTGATTTTGATAGAACCGGTACGAATAGATGACGAACACAATTAGACCAAATATATAATACTGGATAGAAAACTTGGTAGAAAAACTGGATAGAAAAACTGGATAGAAAAACTGGATGGAAAAACTGGATAGAAAAAGTTAAAACTTATTCAGAAACCTAAACCAGCCAGGTTGGAGAGTTTCTAATAAATTTCCTTTAAATCCTGTTTTTTGTTTTGTTTTGTTTTTTTTCACGAGTCTCGACTAGTTTTCTTATTACTTTGATATTTGGTGTCACTTCAATTACAATTCCCGGAAAACAATAAATGTATTCCATCTATTCCTATAACTAATAGTTGGAAATATTTTTCTCTTCTCATGATATTATCGGTTAACGTTGTCCGTATCTCTAGTGACATTAATAGCATTTATGGCCACTCTCTTGGTATCCTTAAAGAGTGGAATAGCTGCAGGCCATAGAATGTTCCATACCAAGCTCAGAACATAAATAGTGTTCATACCTTGAAATGCCAAGGCGATTATGCTGGATAATGGCGAGGAAAGCTTAAGAACGTCCTCACAGTAGAGTACCAGATTTGCAGCCACCCCATAGAATGCCAGACGTTCAAATAAGGTAACGAATAAAATACAAAGAACTGTTAGAGTATTGTTGTTGGAGACTGGTTCCTCAGACAGTGATTCATCCAATTCTGACGGGTTTTCCTGGCTATAATCGTAGTTTGTCGAAATCCCGTCATCATCATCATCTCGGAGAGATTCCATCATCAGGCACTTCTCTAAGTAAATAGTTTTACGTATGGACTTAGCTACTGATGTAGGAACACAGCTGACTGTTATGTTCTTTCTCACTGTCTTAAAGAATGAAAGTGGCATAAGACACTTAGCAATCCCTATGTTTGGGAGTCCTGATGCTTCTGAGGTGTTAGTTGATGGCATTAAGTACTAGCGATCACTAGCATCAACGCAGTGCACTTATGAACACTTTTATGTAAAACCATTTGAAAATATTACGCTGAATCAGAATTCTCTCTTAATATTTCTTTAACTGTACATTGATAAAGTCAGGTCATGATTACAACCAAGTAACTTTATAGAATCTGTGTCAACACACTCATAAGCCTTTTGGCACTCAGATAAAAATAACGGGTCACACAAGGGCTCACACTAGGTATTCATATTGTTACATATTTATGCATGACCTTTTAGATATCACTGAATGAGTACCTCATGCGACAAGCGACAAACTGTAGAAATCTTAAGATAAAGATATTAAGAACCTAGTGATAAGTGTCAATAGGCTACGGAAGAAAGTAAATTTTTAGCCCGGTTATGAGATAAAAGAAATATTTATCTTGCCACAAGCGCGGATTCATTTCTGAGACATTTTAAAGTGTCTGTTTACCTACTCCTTTGACCATTGGCTTAATATAAAACGAAGAAGACTGTCACATAATCCTCTGAAAGATAAAGCTAGCTGTCGAAACTGAAACCTTGCAAAGGTGGCAAAGAAATGAGCCAGCATCACAACGAGACAGCTTACTTCAAATTTATTGATCGTAAGCTAACGAAACATCACTAGAAACCTGTTCTTCCGTACTTTATGAACCAACGATGTGAGTAGAATTCACGTGGCATGTTTCTCTCTCGCTGGTAACAGTAAGGGCTCCTAAGGAGAATGAACTCTTATCCGTCGAGGAAACTGGATTTATGCTACGTTTCTTGCAGTTTACGTTTCAAAAATTGCAAAGATTGAAAACCATAAATGACTTTGGAGTTAAGAAACGACTGCAACAAGCAAATTTTATGCGACTCTCGGCAAAGGTGGAAGTTAAGTTCTCTCACAGCAAGACTTAAAACTACTACAGAAGGAATGATTCTTACCTTTTAGGCCGAAAATTATCGGTAAGACTGCGAAATTATCGTAAATTCACTTGAATGCCACGGAATTAAGTTCCTTGCTGATTGATATGGCAAAATAGGTAGACATTAACACGCAAGATCGCACAGGCACAAGATTAATCATTCATCGCCACGGAACACAGACTGTGACGTGAAGACGTCACATGATCAAGTGCCGGCCAATTCGATGTAACGCCACTAAAGAGCGTGACATGGTTTTTTTGTCGATGAAACCCAGTCGTCACAGTTAAACAATACTTAACTTATCTTTCTTAAAATATTCCCTGCTTTCAGTCGCACCATGTAAGATCTCAACAACTAACACAACACTCGCAAAATAAGACTTGATTAACGATTACGACCGAATTGGATGACACGAAGTCTTAATACCAATGAATCATAAAAATTACAATTTCCGAGAAAAGAGGAAAGTCTCAATTAAGGAGTCTGTACACTGTGTCTATGGTGATTAAAACTAAGGTTGCGATTGGTTGATTTAAACTATAACTGTCTATGTGATTGGCGTATTGAAGTGTTCGATAACAAACTGTCCCATAACAACTTGGCCAACGAATTAGTGAAAAATAGGATTTTTTTAAAAACCAATCACAATCGTGATTAACAGGATTAACAAGTGATTAACAATGTAAATAACTAAAAATATTAGGTGCATAGTCAGTGCAACTTCTTGTGGTAAATGTATTTGAGACGATAAAGAAGCTTGATTAAATGAACCAAGACTTAAAATTAATGATATTTCTCGTTCATTAACGGTTATCAAGATCGTTTTGGGAAATATTCGAAAAGCTTGAAGAGCTCTTTTTTCTCTCAACGCGCTCATCATCTTCAGGGTTGTCTTGATCACAGACCACATAGCGATACCTCACTGCTAAGAACAGGAACACAGTCAAGTTAACCAACATAAGCCCAGACAATAGGAACATGTAGTACTCGAGTGTGCCCTTATTGAGGTTATCCGGATACCACTCGCTACGTGAAACGTGTTTGACAATCGACGCCAGCAAGCTCGCTACAAAGTAACCCAGACCAATCATAGCCAAGCACACACCCATTACCACGCCACGCAACTCGGGTGGAGACTGGGAATAGGCAAATTCAAGACCTAGGTAGAAAGAGATATATAAGTTTGTGGTATATTCACCATAGGTTACAAATTTTCATCCCACGAGGCACTATCACCAAGCACAAACTTAAACGTAAATGTATCTTAGAATTATCACCTGCTCAAGGGACACCAAACCAGAGAAGGATGGAAGTTAATAAATATCTACCAGTTAAGCATAAAAAAAAAGTATTTGAAATTTTAGCTATACCTTCAACAGCTACCGAGTAAGTGGGATCACGAGCCCGACGACTAATCTAAATATGGACTTTAAAGGCATAGCTCTGCTTGCAACATCATGCATATGGAACCTCAACCTTGACTTAAGAAAGAGTTTTGGGCTTGAAACCTTTGTGATATATACTCGAAAGCCCCTCTGAGTAAAAATCCCTTCCTTTTTTTGGCGTCATGCATCGTTGCAATACCACGCGCTCATCAACTAAATTAACTGGAAGGGGAGTGGTAGGAGTATATATTTCCCGATAATTTCGTCCTCGCAGCAGCAGCATTTTGCTATTTACCTGTTACAGACACCAAAGCTTCACTTGCTCCTTGGAGTATATACTGTGGCACTTGATAAAACACACTCATAGTTGATGCATTTATGGTTGTATTGAAAACATTTTGCTGGACCCTTCCATAATCTTTTTTTCGCTCAATTTCGATGATTCCTGCCAAGGCCACAGAACCAGCAGCAAAAATCAGTCCAACGCCGATTCTGCGTAGAGGAGTGAAGTTGAAGCCAAAACGACGGAGGCCTGGGTAGACAACTCGATCAATAAATGGAATCAAAACTAACAAAGACGCATTTTCAAATATGGCCAGTGAAGCTGCGGGAAATGAGAACTTATCGTTGATTTTCAACTTCATGTAAGAGCCTTGCAATAGGTACGTGGTAAGGCCCTGAAAGAAAATGAAAAAATTCACACCAACTTAAAATGAGTGACTCTTTGAAACCTTGATAAAACAGAACATTTGAAGTGCTGAAATAAAGAAAAAGGGATGATGAAGAATAAGCAAAATACAAACGACCAACCAACCAACCAAAAGAACACAATAAAACAATAATTTCTATGAGTTTCGAAACGGCAGCGATGCAATTTGTGGGTTTTCCACGACCGATCATGAGCGAGCAAAGGAAAATTAGCATAAGTTGGCAAACGACCACAAACAAACAAAAAACAACAACAACCATTTTCACTCTTTGCGACATTTCTTAAGAGACGAAAAAATGCAATTTTCGGGTTTTCTTGAATCGAAGCCTGAAACGTTTAAGAACTAAATAAAAGTTTATTTTGAATGGCGCATCTTTCTGTCTACTGCGCTAAAGTAAATGGGTAAAGTGTTTACTCGCTCGGGATTCTGTCACATTTTAAATGAGTCATTGACTAGTGACTGAGGTGAAACGAAGCTTACGGGTTAGATGGGTACTCTTATAGTCCTCGCGTTTCAAGTGAGGATGCCTCTTGAGGCCTCTTCAGTCACTTATGCAGGCTCTATATTAAAATTGTTGTTCATTTTCTAACCTGGCCGAATATTGTCCAGTAGAAGATAAATGTGAAGAATATTGGAAGCAGACGAACCACTGATTTGACAGCTTCCACCATTTCCTCTGAAAATTCTCCTCCCATAACATCCTTAGCTCCATCGAGCCAGTGAGTTTGAGTAAAATAACTCTTGCAGCGGAGTTTGTTTTTGATACCAACGCCAATAATTCGTAGGGAGTCGGTCAGGTAGCTTCCTTTTGGTGGATGAACTATGTAGTGGTTTCTTCCTAACAACAACAACAAGGTTGCTAAAATCATGGACAAGGCAGTTATTAAGTAGCCGTAGAAAAAAGACACTTCCTGTTGGACATACACAACGGCCGTGAAAGCGATCAGGGATCCAACCTGTATAAACCAGTAAAACCAGTCAAAAAATTTCTGGATCTTTTCTTTTCCTTCGTGTTTGACTTGGTCTGCTCCTAGCGGGGACACGTTAGCCTTGATTCCTCCAGTTGCTATGGCAATTAAGATAAGCGAGACAGTTAGGAATGCACCTTTACTTGGAATACTCAAAGCATAAGCCTTTGGGTAGTTATAAGAGGTGGCTGTAAGAAGGACGGTGCCGACTATGTAGAGTAAGGAGCTTCCATATATAGCGTTGTATCTCCCCGTTACGGTGTCAGCCAGCCAACCGCCAATGACAGGAGTGAAGAAGCATGTTCCTGGTGGGAAGAAAATAACCTCTGTATAAGTAAATAAGTATGTCATTCACCAAAATGGCCAGAGAAAAATAACGCTATGTCCTTTTTTGTCTGAAATTCTCTCTGCGTCTCTTAAACTTTTAACACCATTAAGAGCACGTAAGCCATGTCAGAAGAAAGTCGAGGATATAATACGTACCAAGGGTTTCCCAAGGCTTTCAAAGAAGCACAGGTTTTCCCCTGGGAACAAGGGAAAATTATAAGAAGCTCTGCAAACTACTTAGGAATTGTTTGAACCTTAAGTTCAATGACCCGCTGCCGTTCTGGAAATGGGCCCCACCCCATCCCACAAAGACTGGCAGTGATAGTGGCGAAAATCTAGCTTGGGTAGCTTGAGAATTCGTCTAACAACACTATGAATGTTAAGAATTCTAACGAATGAGAATAGATGCATACTTAGAAAGCATGCCTATAATATAAAGCGCGCCTTTCAGGGAAAGCAGCTTTCCCTCTGAATTGCTTAGCAACTTCGAAAGAACGGGAACAGGGAGGGGAAGGTCGTCTTTCTTACGAAAGAACTTGCAAGATATGGCTTCAAGGCGTTCATCTCCCTGAATAAGACTTGTAACCATGAGAAATCATCAGGTCTCATTTTTTTTTTGCCTCAGGAGTTACAAGGTTTTGCTTTTAAGAGTAGCACAAAAAATAATATGCATGAGAAAATTTTACATAGTTTTCTACTACTGTTTTGTTTCATTACGCGCTCCAATTGGTAGAACAGTGTCACCATCTTCTTATACAGTAGAAGCAAAACTAAAACCTATGTTTACACGCTTTTCAGGGCGTGACAATCGTCCTTGTTTTGACTGGCTTTCTTTCTGTAATTAGGCTTTGTGTTGTTACTTTGGTTTTGGTTCATCGCACTCTATCGAAAAGTGCTCTTTTGTTTTTAGATTCTGAGGAGATATCTTACCTTGAAATGCTAACGCAATTGTGCTCGGGAACGGTGAAGAAAGCTTGAGAACATCTCTACAGTAAAACACTAGATTTGCTGTTAAACCGTAAAATGTTAGACGTTCACAAAGCTCCACAAACAAAATACATAGGACAGAAAGAGAGGTTTTCTGTGAAGACGAACTTTCTCTCTGTCTGCTGACGGTCTTATCGTGCATTTGTGGCAGTTCATCATTACTCAGGCGAGACGCCATTATCTATGTTACAGAACAAAAGGAAAAAAAAACAATTAAATAAACGATGCAAATATGGTTTTAGACATTCACTTAAGAGCTCTCTGTTTCTTCGAGAGGAGAGTGACCCAAAAGTATTTTTTTTATTGATAAAAAGTTTCATTGGGAAAAAAAATAATGATAGTTGCTGTGTCACTCCAGTAATCGAAAGTGATTCTGTTTCGTTTAAGTAATATTATTTCATTTTTCAGATACCATTTACATTTCACATAGCCACCTATACACATTTATAAGTTGATCAGACATTGATCTCCATCTAAATTTCAAATGATGGTTAATTTAGCCAAATGGTTCGATGCTCAACTACGTTATCATCATTCTATTATCAAATCATTGGTAATCACAAGTTATAACCCCGTGAGAGTAATTAGCTTGTGTTACATTAAGAAAACTAGAAAGACCTAAATTAAGTGAGTACTTTGCATCCTATCATAATATTCGAGAATATGTGTTGAAAAGGTCTTATGATTTAAGCAGTTCGTAAAAGTAAATCAAATAGTTTGCAGGTGACATCGTGTGGAAACTGTGCTGGTCGTAATAACTCCATGATTAAGGTTCGCAACGCACTGCCGAAGCGTCTTTAAGCTTAAGTGATAAACATATCCCAGAAAAGGTAATGCTCTATTGGGTTAAAAACGAGCTCTTTTGTGACACCAGATTCGGTCACAGTCTTCCTTCTGTCGCACGTTAAGCGCATCGAAACTCGATTTACACTTCAAGAACAGGAAAACTTGCTTAACTTCAAACCCGTGATTCTTAAAGTTACGAAAAGTTGTGTGGAAAGCAAAGTCACAAAGCAACTTTCGTGTGTATTAACTAGTGTTTTCTTTCCTATTTTTATTGCAAAACGGCATGTCGCGACACACCAACCCGAACTACGCAATCATCTCAGTGCAGAACTGTATAGGTGGCCGTCACCGCCAAAAATACAGGCATAATAAATGGTTTGTAATGAACAGAAATGGTCAAATTGTCTTTTGGAGAACGGTTTAACTTATCGTAGGAGATTTATTTAAAATACAAATAGACAAGTCACCTTAGGTGAAATGAAATATTCAAACAAAAAATGGTTTATACAATTCAGAAACTGTGTAGCCACCCTTGTTGAACTGATTCAATAAAAACACGAGTGGTCAAGTGTTAACTGAAATGGTTCAGTGCCGAAATGACAAACGGTTCAGTTAACTGTACTTTGGTTCAGTGACTTGACACAAACGGTTTAGAGTTATCGGTAAACGGTTGATAGTAAGCTGCAATGGTTTAGTATCACATCAAACAACTCACCATAAAGTGAAACGATTTAGCGTGACTCCAAATGGTTAAGCATGACGACAAATGGTTTAGTACCAACTGATATGGTTTAGCGTTACAGAAGTTAGTTTACACCGCAACCGCCAAATTACAAAAGTGAAATGGACACGTCAAGCTTGAAATGGAACAGTCTGTGTGGGGTCTTACGTCACAACCCTCCAGTTCTTAAAAGTTTTTAGGCGCTCTTTAGTTGTAGTTCCATCGTCTTAAAACTATGAATCGCTTTACGTCACGTTTCCTAGCTATGGTTATGACTGTCTAAACTGTAAATGTGCTGTCGCATAAAATGATGCATTTAATGTGTATTTTTGTCATTCATTTTGTTTTCAGGTTCTTATTTTATCTTGAGGACGTAAAATGGAGAATTCTTACCATGGTCACGCGTAACCATGGTAAGAATTCTCTATTTAAAGTACAGCAGTTTTCACCATAAACTACACATAACCATATAGTTTTTAATCATATAGTAAAAATATATTATTGCGAAATGTAAGCTTCAGCTTTCTTTCATTTTCACTTGCTGATTATTCAGCTACTGAACGTTCAGCTACGGTTTCATCCGAAATATCATTTATTTACTGATATGATAAGATGATGAGGGTATAAATTTATTAGCTAACAAGCTAAAATAAGCAAACATAAAAAAATGATTATTGTCGGAATAATGCTCGCTGAGTCTAGTAGACGAGGCTACAGAAGTAATTTCTTCCTGTGTTGAACGTCGAGTGGACGGCGTAAACCAACTGCTGCAACACTAAACCATTTCGGTTTGTGGTAAACCATTTGCCGTCACGCTAAACCGTTTGTCGTCACGCTAACCATTTGTCGTCACGCTAAACCATTTATGGTCACGCTAAACCATTTTACTTTAAATCATTGCGGGTTACGATTAACCATATTCCGATGACTTAAGCAATTTAATCGTCTCAATTGATAAAAACATAAGATGTAGTAAGAGCTGATATATTTGCCTTTTTGTTAACATTTTGTTCATGTGACTATTAAATGTTCTACCAGAACGAAACAGAAACTTACTGTCTTTGTTATTCTATTTACCAAACGACATTATTCATAGGCGAGATTTGGAATCTGACCTGAGTCTGATTGATCTCTCGATTTTGATCAAATCTTCATTTATCATCACATGTCAGATCAATCTGAACAATGAATAGCGCTAAAGGCCAAAACTTTAACGATGTTACGGGAAACTAGTCAGCCGAAACACAGACAAAACCATGGAAGAAACGAAACAGAAGAACAGAATATTCTGTGGATGAATGAGTCATAGAAGTCAACATGAATGTTTCACAGGAAGTCAAGACCTGCAAGATCGGCCAAGGCTCTCTAGCAGAAGAGCGTTGCGTCAAATGTCATGCAGGTTTAAGCAAAATACACTGTATTGGAATTCATACCTGGAAGACGATATACCAAGGCTAAAGGGTTGTGATTTTAGAAACCGTCATCGATTACTTACAGCTTTGGCTATTTCGATTGAACCTGTGAGCTGATCATGTGACTTGTAGTGACGCAGTGTTGAGTTCCGTTTGAGCGATATTGGCATGTCAGGCGGAAATGTGTCTTACGCACGATGCGTGACCTCTCTTCAATTCTTATAAAGGAAGCAGCAAGTACTGTGCATCTCTTCCAAAAAAGCTTCATAATGATCGGTTCACCCTTGTATAATTTTTGTAAAACGGAAGTCGAATCTTCTTTTGCAAATGAACAAAAAACTTCTGGCGACCTTTTGTATTTTAGATTAAACAAAAACATTCTTGTAAAAACCTTAACTTTGAAAACTATCTTCTTTGGTGAGATTTGCGAAGGGGAAGACAATGTATTCTTTAATCACCTGTTTATCAAAATTCTTTATTAATTTTATGAATGCAAAATGAAGTGATTGAACCCATAAAAATATGCGAAAAACTTTTCAAGTGCGTTCGCGATTAGTTTTTATGATGTTTTTTCATGAACCCAAGGTACCCAACGAGTACCTTGTACGTAGTTTGTTTTGTTTTATTTTACTCTATAATTCATGGTTTTTAAGATGTACTTTCAGCAGGAGACTAAACGCTGAGCATAAACAGTCGCGCGGACATAAACGATACAGAAATATGAATAAAGAAAAATACAGAAATATGAATAAAGACAAATTTTCAAAGAACCCCCTCCCTAAAAAAAGGACATATATCATACAAAAATTTTTATTCTGAAAAGTACAATTTAGGGAAGAAACTGCAGCTATCAACAATTTCGATAAGCTATCGGAAAGCACCGGTGAAGTGACCAAAAACATAGGCTTGATCTTTCAAAACGCGCTCTCGGTAAACTTTGACCCTTATAGTTTGAGTGCTTAGCGGTTATATAAGGTATTACGTCTCTGTAAAAAAAAAAAAAAAAGATCTGGATTGATCATGTTTTTCGTGAATACGTAGTTTACAGTTTGTTCGAAAGTCTCCAATTTTCTTTCCCTTGTTTTTTCATGACGTTTACAGATTTTTATGAAGGTTTTAATTCTCTTTTGCTTGTTATGCGAAACGGCGCTTTTCCTTTACAATGTTTTGCGCGAGAAATTTATTCGACACAAGCCAGAAATATTTTCCTTGCGCATGCCTGACATTTGACCGCATTGTGGATGAAAGCCGCGGTATAAAAAGCAAAGTTCAGCTTGATCTAACTGGAGTTTTGTTAATCCAATTTGAGCGTCTTTTTTTCGCCGTCAAAACACACCTATATAAATGTAGTTCTCTAACTGAGAGACAAAAACCAATAACTCAGCAGTCAACAACTGAAAAATACTTTTAGCGACTGGAATCGCTTCCTGTTTTGAGGAACTCTAAAAATAAACGAAATCAGGGCCATGGCATCTGTTTTCCTTTAAAGGATATTATTTTCTTCAGACGATATCAATCGCTTTCGGAAAATATTTGGTTTTATTTTCTAAAACACTTGATCAACCATAGTCCTAAGCTATTGTAAATAACCCAGTACCTGTTACGTCGAGCAGGTTCTTTTATCATCTTGTGTTTTTATCAAGCTTCCCTGTGTTTTTCTCTTGAAATCCTATTCTCTGTTCATGACATGTTGGTATCCTTTGTTAAAATAATGGGTGGCTCATTACAGGGGATTGATGCGGATCCGAGGGCTGCTCACGGAAACAAAATCCTCTCCCACAGTGTCACATGGCAACCGACTGATTATTTTTAGAGCTGAGATCGTAATCAATTCAATGATAATATGAGATCACGTTTTACTTTTAGACGGAGAAAAGGAATTTTGGAACAGTAGTATGTAATCAGGAACTTTCAGACGGCGTTGTTCGACTTTAGACATCAGGCGCGAAAATTTTGCATACGACTTAAAATTTCGACCAGGAGGCGGAACCCTCAATTCGTTATATTTTTACACACTATTGGCCTTGTAGGTTACCTCAAGCCCGAAAAGCTGTCAAAATGGTGCATACAATAAGAGCTTTGCTAGCTAATTAACCTGCCATATTCAAGCCTGAAGAGAGGAGATATTTTCGTTTCAACGTAGGAATAAGCAAAGATTGCCTACAATTTATTTACGCCTCTAAAAACATCGTTGAGAGACTCTGCTATCGAGAGATTTCTTAGTAATTTATTCATTTTTTGTTATCTTTTTACAGTTCTTTTTTTTTTTGTACTGATTTCTCGCAAATGAATATTTCTGGGTCCTTGACAGGGTTGATAAGACCCCTGACTAGGCGATAGCTTGTGTTTGAAGGTTTGACGCACGTCAAAACGTTTTACTATTTCATCAGTCGCTGTGTGAGGGAATCGCCAAATGATACCTTGGAATAAAATCTTATCTCATTTATTCCCTGAAATGATCACGGACAACACATTGTGGAAACATAATTACAGTTTCTCGCGCCTGAAAGTCCATGGAGCCTTCGTTAACTTTTGTAAATTAGTTTTGGGTCAAAATGTCGTCTTCTGATCTAATTGAAAATTGTCTGAATTCGTCTGACTACAGGATGTTGCATAACTTTAACTTTGGATCTTCGTTCTATATGTTTTTTTTCATCATATTTTTCAACTATATGTACCAATACCTCCGTCATGTGTTTCGCTAATGACATTTCCTTTTGTGCATTTTGGTCTTACACAATCTCAGTGCCGAAAAACTTTTAATGATCTCCCGTGTAACAATTCGTCGTGTTTACAAACAACACTTCCTTTACATTACTCATCACATCAGCCCTATATCAATGTTTTTATTTGCAGATCTGCAAAGCGAATCCAGGCAATTTCATTTTACATGCAATTTTCCTAAACCGTTTTAAGTCGAGATTACCCTAACGAAACCTTTATTGCTTCAAAGAGGATTCCGTCGCTGTTTTGGTTTATCGCAGAGATTTCAAACTTGTTAAGCACAATCAAGAATTTTCATCTCTTTTAGAAATTCCAAAGCTTTTCTACGAGTCGAAAATAAATCCAAATTTAAATTTCCCTTCGTAGTGAACTGTTCACGAGTGGGAGAGAGAGGGAGTCATTTGGTGTTCGTGTCTCATTAATTTAGCGCTTTAATTTGTAGCGTTAATTTTCACAGCGGTTGGGGGAGTTTCAGAATTTACAAAAACTACTAAAGCAATACGGGGGTCCCAAAAAGTTTTCAGCCATAGCGCCATTTCGTAAAACACCTGCTCTCTAATCTAGATAGTTCTGTCTAAATTCATTGATGCCTTTCGATTTTGTTCCGAGAATAACTTGCGGTTTTTGATTACTACTTTCATAAAATCTGTAGATTATTCATTGTTTAGAGGAAGTCATCACATCTCGATGAATCTTTTCGCACAACAAGTCGTTACCTTGCATCTTGGTACTTTTTCAAACAACGAGACCAAATTGTTTGCAATTTGAGTCAAAGTCGACCATGAGTCAATTTACACCTTTTTGATAATAATGATTCGTGGCCTGTGGGGCGTTAACGCTTGTCTTCAAGTGAGCATTCATAATAAATTCGTGGATTGAAATGAAACCGCTTTATCAAATGTAATATTCACCAATTTTTTTTTTGAGAAGGTAGAAGGCCCTAATGTACTCAGAAATTGATTGCGATGTCAATAGCTCAACAGGGTACGAAGAAAAGTAGCATATCGTCGGCTCTTGTGCGTTTCAAATGTGTAAAACGATTTAATTTTTAAGCTAAGAATAGCAAATCAGTTTGAACTGATATTTATCAATTCAAAGGGACCGGAAGATGAACAATATACGCAGAAACGCCTCGTAAAGTTGGAACGATTTTCGTTAATCTTTACCAGGTTCTAATGAACTTCGGAAAAGAATCAGTACTCGGCGTTAATTTACGAAAGTGGCTTTAAGTCTTGTCCAGTATTGTTTGCTTTCTCAAAACAACGCATGAAGTTCCTTAATAATTAATTACTCACCGAAGTCAGCCAGCATAAAATGCTCATTTATGAAAAGGCGGAGGAGATAGGTTCATTAGCAAACCAAAACATTGTGGTTACCAGCTGAGCTCTGTAGTATTAATTTCATCGCAGCTGCGACCTTGCCGTACAAAAAAACTTGAGCTTTTTTTATTATTATTTTCATTCGTTCGCCAATGAGCAAATTGCTTGCAATTTCGAGAAAATTTTCAGATTATTGCTAGAACTACATTTTCACCCGCGTAGACCCAGGAGAAAAGGCAATTAGGAGTAAAAAGTGGCTTTGTCATCCTACAATAACCGGTTTTTCATGTTTTGTTACGGGGCTAACCTCGCATATTCTCATTTGACAGGTGGCTTGGATCCGGGGGGAGAGTTGAGGGATAACACAGAATAAATCTCCGAATTCCTTTAATGTTCGTAAGAGGACAGTTGCGCAGGTTTGTCTGTCCTTGAACAGTGGATAACTTTATCATGTAGCATTTTGTCGTTTGCGGAAACCAAAAAAGAAAAATAAAAAAAGAAAAAATTAAGTCATATACCTTCTGACTGTGCTTAACAACCTGTTGTTAACCAATCAAGTGCGCCTTTGTAAACAATAACAATAACCTGAAACATATTGATGACACGCGCCGATTGGATACGAAAGAATAAAAAAACTGATTATATTAACACATTACCAACGTTTGAGGATTTATAAACCTGTGCAAGCACGAGTGGCAACATTTCCGAGATTCCCATTTCAAGGAAACGGCAGATTCCTTTTGGCGTTCATATTCAGCTGCTTCTCCTATCTGCTGATCGAAAAGTTCATAAAAAATCCGTTGGTATAAATTTGGAATCAAGGGAAGATGCCTAAGTCATTCCTGTTGCGGCGTCATCTGAAGCAGGAATGGAACAACAGAGAGGATTATTCCATTGCTGGTAAGTAACTTAAATATTGACTATCCCCCCTCATCCATACTGTTCTGTAATTTATTTTGATTACTATGGGAAATTTCCGGATAAAATAGGTGAATTCTTATTTCCAGTAGACTTCGGCCGATTTGAGTTGACGAAGGCTCATTTCTGACTTGTGGATTGTGCATATTTTAGGATCTTTGCCACTTGGTCTTTGGCATCGATTGGCTCCAAGAGCAGGCTTTCTGGGCTCATCTCTCCAAGAACAGAGTCCGTCCTCAGAAGAAGCTACGGACGTGAATGGAAATCACAATGAGAAATACTTTGAAGAGTGCGATTATACCAGCGAATTGGCGCCAAGTCAAAATCAAAAAGAGAGCAAGGCGAAGATGAGCAAACAAAAAGAAATATCAAGAACAGAGAAGGAGGAATTTATCTGTGCAGCAACGAAAGATAAAACGAGATCGGGAAAAGGTTCCAAACGGTCTCAACACCGAGGGCTTGAAGAGCCAAGGAGTCTACGAGAAGGTTCTAAAAGATTGTCTTCTTCGTATCAAACGGGTCCTGTCAAGCAACCCTATAAGTGCGATCAGTGCGGTAAAATTTTTAAGACGAAGTATACATTGACGATCCACCTAAAGATGCCATCCCACACTGGCGCCAAGCCGTTTGTGTGCGCCATATGCGGCAAGGGATTTCGATTGTCAAGCACACTTTGTCGTCACAAAATCATTCACACATCTGAGAAGCCCCACAAATGCCACATCTGCGACAAAGCCTTCAATCGGTCATCCACGCTCAAGACTCATATTCGCACTCACAGTGATCTGAAAGAATTCGTGTGTGATATCTGTGGCAAAGGTTTCCATCAAAAAGGCAATCTGCGCAACCATGTTCTTATACACACAGGAGAGAAGCCGTATCGCTGCAATCTCTGCGAAAAAGCCTTTAATAAGCTATCCAATTTGAAGTTCCACATGCACGTTCATACGGATAACGCCCCTTACCGCTGCCGATATTGCAAAATCTGTTTTACACGGCGATGTGATCTCAAACTTCACATCTCAGAGTGCAACCCGCAGCGCTGAAGAAGGAAAAAAAGCAAAAAAATTCCAAATCATTGGCATTAGGTGACAGTTAATCGCCATTAACACGTAAAGCAAATGGATGGTTCGCTGATCAAATATTTATGGCGACGACGCCAGAAATTTAGATGAACTTGCCTTCTTAAAACAGAAGAGTACCAAAAAAACAAAGAAATGGTCCAAGATCTGCCAAAACTGTTATCGCAGATACGAGCCAGTATTTTATGACTTGTGGAATAGCTTGTCAGACAAGAAATAGACATAGAAATTAAATTTCTAAGCAATTTTAATGAGTTTGATTTTAGTTACCACAACGGGCAAGCTAAATGCCACATTACTGAAATAGCATTTTTCTTAATTTCCTTCAAGCCAATTCATCGCTACAAGATATCAGTGGGAAACGTAGTAGCAAATACTAGGATGTAGAGCTCAGGATGGCATAAGCGCTAGTCTTTGTATTCGAAAATTAATTTTTTTCAACGACACGGTATATTTTACACTGAGTGACTAGTAAGGGCATAGACTTAAGAGACAGAAAAAGCCTTGGTCGACACTAGTTAGTTTTGAGGTAATCGTTAAAGAAAAAGGTCACATATTCCTGGAAAGTGGTAGTTATGACACACTTTTTATTCTTTGCGATTTTGTGTCCCTGCATTTCAGATATTTGACTTCTATTTCACACGCAATTGAAAAGAACATGTGAATATCCTTCAAATGCCTTCTTGAGGTAGCAAGTAGACTTATAACTTATTAACAAGTGTCAGTCTTACTCATTAACATAACTAGGCGACCGCAAAGACAGATTTATGCGGCGCTTAAGAAAAGAAAAAAAATTTCAAAGAAAACTGCTTGCAACCTGAATTTCAAAATAATATCAGTGAGAAAATCGTCTTAAATTACTCTCATCTTTAGCCCTTTTTTCCAGACTTATATTACTACGAAATGGGAACCACGATGACTCCGAGATTGAACTTTTGTTTTCGTAAACGATCTTCACCTGATGCCAAACAAAACTACAAGAAAATAAATCAGTTCTTTAACACTGAGTACAGAAATCAAAATAAATCACTCTGATGTTTTATGGAGAAATGGTTAGCTCTTCAACAGACACTAAAGAAAAGAGGGATAAGATTTGTCCAAGTTTTATCGACCTAGTGGCCCTTTTCTGAATACTATTTTTTATTTCGTGCATTATCCCTTGGCAGATCATTTACACCTTATCCATGACTTAACAAAAACACCTGAATCCAATTTAACATGGATTTTGGCTCAACGTAGAATGTAACGAATATACTTTCCGCGAAGCCAAATAAAAAAAAAAGGTATTATAGCAGATAATTCAACATGATGCTGAGATCGATTTCTGGTAAATCTTTATAACATAGCAATGTGTTTTCCTTAATTTCTATTTCCCCATGCACGAGCTCTTCAAAACAGTGCAGGTTGTTTGTACAGTATTGTTAAGGCAATCACAAAGGATTTGATTATTAACAATAACACTACACCAAGAGACTTCAGATTGAGCTGTAAGTGGTGAACTCATTTGTTGTAATTAACACGCGTGCCTGTTCAAAAGAAATACTAATTGATGGACGAGCCAGGTGGAACCGGCGCGGGCCGCTTGCTGATTCTTTCAACCTTGCGAGACAAAGCAAGAAGACAACAAGCAGACCGCGAGTAATCAAGTGCTTAAAAATATCAAAACTGAAACTTTCAAAAAGGATGATAAAAATGTATCATGAGGATTTTTTTTTTTACCTGAACTACTGTGCTTCAACTTCTAAAGGAAAAATTTCAAGGGAAAAAAGGTGCCTTAAAAGACGCGTTCGCGTTTTTTTACGTTTTTTTTGTTTTTTTTTTTTCTTGTTTTTGTTTTTTTTCGTTTCAAATAAATCATCCATTGCGGAATAAGAAGTGTTGCTATAGATGAGAAAATTACTGAAACAAACTCTGTCTTCGAGTATTTCTTACTGAAGCTGCATGTAAAAATTTGAATGATCCAGTCATTCGAACAGGAAGCAAATTAGAAAAAAGTTGCATCTCATTTAAAATTGCATGCGGTCTTTCTTCAGCTTGATTCCTCTTATCAAAAGAAACATGTCGTCGTGTTTTTAGTTTGCGCCCCAGAGAGCGGTGAGAGGCGTTTTGGTATAATAAAGTAAGGAAGAAAAAAGTTATTTTAAAGGTGAACGAGTTCATATTAGCAATGAATATGAGATGAAGCTTCAAGTAGTCAACAGCTTGATAGGAAAAATCGCTTGACAGTAGACACTCTCAGAAAAAAAAAAAAAAAAGAAAGAAAAACGAAAGGTTCGGTATGGGTAATACACAATTTACGAAAGGCGTTGAGGTTTCTGGTAAGGATAAAGATATTCCTTGTTATCTATAAGTAAAAGGCGATTGACACAGTAAACAAGTCTCCCCTAGAACGAGAACGGTTTGACATAGGAAAAAAAAACAAACGTTTTAGTTTTCTTTCATCCGGTTCACCTTGATCCTAACAAGAATTTGATTTTTTAAAGAATTAATGTCTTAAGAAAGCAATGCGTAGAAAGTAGCTAGGCTTATGCTTCACTTTCTGCAAACAAGACGGTCTTAAGTGGAATAATAAACATGCCTCAAAGCACGAGATAATTGACTTTATCTGCCTCGCTCAAGTGTCTTCAAAATTGATTAAGATTATTTAAAATTAAGAGAAATTGCAAAAAATGGCCTCGGCACCGTGGAGGTTTAATCTTGATTGGAGAAACTGAAAGCCGTGATTAAAAAGTGACAGATTGAAAATATCGAACCTTGTAACGTCAACTTTAAAATAACAAATAAAAAACTCCATGTTTGTCAAATAAAGGGGATACCTAAATTTATGATCACTGGATCCGTCAGTTTTCTTAGTTTGCACATGTGGATTTTATATTACAGGTGGAGGAATTAGTTACAAAATACTGCGTCTTTCCTCGTGATTATTTTTCCCAAAACGGATGTCAAACAGTAGGCACAAAGATTCTTTTTTTGTGGAATATAAATAGCTTTCGGAGACGAACGATTTAAGCGAAGCGAACAAAAGGTTCAGCGATTACTATTTTGGATGCAATCTGAATTATAATCATTACTTCTCGAGAAATAATAATTATAAATGATTCGTGTTAAATTCACTGTCAATCAAATTTGATGAAACAATGTCTTTTACATAAAAAAATTATAAATTAGACCATAAAGAAAAATGAGTAGCTTTATCATTTTTATTGTAATTACAAAATAGAGATGATGATGAAAATTATTGTGATAATGATAATAAATAGTTATCCGCTAGTGCGAAAAAAAGAAACCAAAGCAGGGCTGTTGATCTAGCCGCATCTGATACAATAAAAAACATTGCTTATCCCGGAATGTTCTCTGACATGAAATGTGCGTTATATATAGGCCGACGGTGTGCTCTTATGCTGGTTAACATGTTCTGTTGCATCGTAGTTTTGTTGCAAACCTCTTTTAGCCTGAAGTTCATCCCTGTTTCCTATTTTGGGTTTGTCCTCCACCCCTTCCTTTTTAGGCAGCAGTGTCTGCAGCTGTTGAAGAGCAATACTCCAGTTGGTATCAGCTTTAGAATTATACTTGTAGCGACTGAGAGATTTTCCTCGTTTGTTTTTCCAAGACTTTACCACTCTGTCCCGAAAGCCTTGTAGGAGGCTGAAAGTCTTTAAAAAGGAAAGTAATATTAATTCAACTTCAAATTCTACTATGATCTTGCATTTTTTTAACGTTAACCCACAACACCATAGTAGTAAACACTTGAAAAGGTAACAATCTCCCAATTTTTTCTGGCTGTTTTGGGTAGACAAAGTGTTATTGTTGCCTTTCTCTATTCTCATCTGTCATTTCCGTAAACGGTTAATATCCCAAACATGAATTAATTGTTCTTGAGATTCTCCAGCATAGATGTGCTTTTTTTCTCTTAAAAAATAAAGAGGATGTCGGAAATAAAAAGGATACCGGAAAAAAAACAAGGATACCGGAAGTGGAAAAGGAGCCTAGCCTGGAGAGTGTCTTGTCCTTATCACTTTAATACCGCAGTATTCAATGTTTTGAGAAACAACTCTTTTAATTTATCCTTGCCAATTAATGCTGCTTAGACTTCCTCGTGGATCATACTCAGAAGTCTTCATGTTTGGTCTTGTTTACCATGTGACTGTATGAGATATGATTTATATTCAGTTCAAGGCTGACTTCGACTACCTGCATCGAGCGTTTTAGAAAGGATAGCAAACCTCGCCCAAAATATGAACAGCAACAACAAAAACAACAAACATTTAACGACAAAAAACGAAACACATAATCCAAAAGCATTACCTATATCAGCTCCGGAAGGCTTATTCATTTCTTATGTAACCCACCTGGCCTTGTTTGTGATCTTTGTACGCTGCCCATGTCAATTCAATCAGAAGTATAATCAAGCTGAAAGCCAGGCCAAAGAAGACAGCATAAAATGCACCAGCCATGTCTTTAAATACTAAAACATCTCCTGTGAAGGACGTGTCTGAAAATATGAACATGACCTTCACTTGCGGCAATGACATCGTAATCTGAACTCTAAATTGAATACTCTGATTGCACGAACTCCAAAGTTCATACATTTGCATACCTGAAGATTCTTGCAAAGTCGTCTCACATACTCCTTGGAGCCACCTTTCCCTCAAAAGTTTGAGAAATCCTTTTTGCCTCAATTCCAGGATTTTTACACTGAACTGATGTGTGAAAGGGGAGTTCTTGGGAAGCCCAAAGCCATAGCCGAACTTGCCGAATACTCTGCAGGGAACAGATAGGCGTAAGAGGCCGGTCTTTATTCTTTATTCATCGCCTGGGGACTGGGGAAAGGAGACGGGCGGGGGGAATACAATTTACCTTATCACCCCATGAGGCTCAGTAGTACTCGAATGGTATCGATCGCCTTCATTTGGCAATTAAGTTTCTCTTATCGTCCCTTTATAATATGTCAACGACGACAACGAGTTATCCTCTCCCCCCTTCCCCAGCGATTTCAATGATTGATCCCTAGGGGTGAGGGTTAGCTGTGCGTCAGAAATTTGTTACATTTTCCATAGCTTCCACCGTGTTTTTTTTTTCTGTATGGCCAGCAAAAAAGAAAATATTCGATATAGGATAGAGACTTGATTTTGATTGTACACAAATTCATCACGTTGGAAAACGTAACTAACATAACTTACACCGTACCTTCCAATTGTGGTCAACGTGTTGCAAGGCCTTTGTTCTGTGTAATAATCCAATACAGCTGACT